TTTCATCTCAGCATCGGCTGTCTGCATCATTTTATTGCCATTTAGTAGTGACTCCGAGGTCACTATGGCGTCTCACCACCTTATCTGAATGTGGTTTTAAGGTGGTACAATTGCTCCTCCACACTGTCAAGTGGCTGTGAGCAAAAATCAGACAACTGGAGCTGAATTCCTCCCCCCCCAATCTTTTCTAAGGAAATACGCAAATTGTCACAAAGGAAACAAGTTAGCTGAAAATCCAGTCGTCTGCGTTTAAAAGCAGCCAGGGGACATTTTTCTGCGGTCCTATTTGGAGGGGGGGAGTTGGAAGCACACCCACCTCTGAACCATTTGTTATTTCCTAGGGCAGTCTCCAGAACGCCCTGCCTGGCAACTGCTGGGTGCTTGTGTTTTTTACCCAGCTGTCTTTCCTGCCCCCTTCCGCCTCCCTCTCTGCCAGGTCACCCCCTTTTATTTTCTCTCTCTCTGTGTGGGGGGGGTCGCAGGTGCCATTTCCTCCCCGCAATGCAGCGCAGTGTCCTGCAGGCACCCCTGGGAGGCTGCTCCTCTCCCCCCCCTCTCTCGCACTCTCCCTAAACAGCTTGCATCCTGATGCAGACAGAGGAGAGCTTTATATTTAGCCAAATGGGAAGCCGGCGCCACAGCAGCACGGAACAGCTTTACATAGCAAATGCAGATTGGGCCCTAGCATTAAGAACACAACACTGGCGACGCAGGAATAATGACGAGCCTCAACAAACAAGAAGACTTTTTAAAAGACCCACAGAAACTAAGGGACAACATACAACAAGGTATTTTTTCCCTTTTGCAAAGTTTGGCTTAGGGGTGCCATCCCCCCGGTGGGGCCAGGGGATCCCCTGATTTTGGGGCTCCCGATCTGTCACAGCCTAGCTAGCTGGTGGGGGAACCCCCCCCCCGAGAAGCCCCCTCCCAGCACCAGCAGCACCAGCAGCACCAGTGTGATGATGTCACCCTGGAGTTATGTCATCACGTTTCCAACATCGGAGGCGACGCTCTAGGTTTGGGGCAAAACTCTATGGTTTTGAGGCCAAAAAACCCATACATCACCCGCAATGGTAGAAACATGATGATGTCACTTCTGGTGACATCATTGGGGTGCGTGCCAGAAGATCTTCAAGGAGGAACCGGGAGGTGCCCACAGCCAGGTAGGACCTGGCGACCCTAGCTCAGCTGTTTTCCCCAAAGAGCGCTTCTTTCCTCAAAAATACCCCCGTTAAAACTGAGCAACCATTAAAGCTTTTCAGCTAAAATGCTTGCATCCCTGCTTATGCAGATTACATGCTGTTGTGCTGAATCATTCCAAATTAGGGATGTTAGACCCCATGTGGGGGCGGGGGTCTCCCACTGCCAGAACCCACCTCTCCCCCCCCCCAAAAAAAGGGAGGAACACCGGAAATTAAAGTGATGCACATACATGACTCAGAAGAGACGTAGGCACGTCGGGGGCGACACTCTGGTTTTTGGGCAGAATATGGTAGAAGCTAATTCTACCATAGAGTTTTGCCCCAAAACTAGAGCATCGTCCCCCGACGTTCCCGACATGCCTATATTACTTATCGGTCACATAGGCGCATTGCTAAAATGCCGGGCATTCCTCCCTGCTCCCAGTAAGCGCACCCCTCACCCCCCCGCCAGCTACTTGGAGGGACTTAGCAACCCTGTTCCAAGTACTACAGCAGCCATTTTGAAAACTGTCTTTCCCAACAGCTTCAGTCCTGCCTACAGAATATCTTCCTACTGTTTTTCAAGTAACAGTTGGGCTTTCCACATTTTCCTCACATTTCCTGAACTTCCAGTCTGTGAGTCTAGTATACTGGCACCCAGATGGGAACATTGGCTTGAGAGGTTGGGAAAAAAATATTCCTTTTTGTGATGAAAGATGACCCTGCCACCAAAAGGGCAACGTTATTACATTCTGGAGGTAGTGAAATACAACAGATTTTTAAAACACGACCTGACACAGGCCACAGCAATGATTATGAAAGAGCAAAATCGGTGCTTAACAAATACTTTACTACAAAAAAAATAAAATAAAGACTTTGAACAATATACTTTTCAACAAGGAAACCAAAAGGAAGGTGAAAGTACAGATGAGTATCACACCAGGCTACACCACCTTGCACGTTCGTGTGAATTTGCAAACACTAGCCTGGCTTCAACTGATTTGTCAAAACACCACAGAGAGTATGAGGTAAATAGCAGAAAACTATCTTTCTAGGGTGTTAACAAAGTAGTCGGAGAGTGATTCAGCAAAGATTCAGCTTTATTCAACAATTCAAACACAACTCCAACACGGATCAACATCTGATAGCCAGAACAGCTTGTACATTGCAGCTGTTCTGCTTTTAAACTCTCCCGGCTAATGTAGCCACGCCCCGCCCATCCTGCAAGTGGGCTCAGGGCGAGTAACATCATGTCCGCAATAAATACAATTAAAAGTTAAAACACAATATAAACCTTAAAATCGGTGGTTACAGTAGCTCAACAACAAAAATCAACTGGCTATGAGAGATTCTAGCCTGTTGCTACAGATGGATAATGGCCAGTTATCAGCCGGTGGGTGACAGCAACCTCAGGGAGGCCATACATGGGCGCCTGCTCCCTCAGCCAAAGGCCTGGTGGAAGAGCTCCATCTTGCAGGCCCTGCAGAACTGAAGAAGATCCCGCAGGGCCCT